AGAACACAGAATATAGAATATAGAATGCAGAATACAGAACACAGAATTAAGAATATGCAATTCAGAACAGAGACTTTATAATATAGAGTACAGAATACAGAATATACAATTTAGAATATTGAATGTAGAACAAAGAATATAGAATATAGAATAAAGAATACCGAATACAGAATGTAGAATACAGAATGAAGAACACACAATATAGAATACAGAATACAGAATACAGAATATAGAATTTTGAATACAGAATGCAGAACCCAGAATTGAGAACATGGAATGCAGAACACAACGTAGAATATAGAATACATAATACAGAATATAGAAAGTCGAATACAGAATTTAGAACACTGATTATAGAATATAGAATACAGATAAAAGAACCCGGAATTTAGAACATGGAATACAGAACAGAGAATGTAGAATTTAGAATACTGGATACACAATATAGAATGTAGAATACAGTGTGTACAACAAAGCATATAGAATATAGAATACAGAATGCAGAACCTAGAATTTAGAACATGGAATGCGGAACACAGAATGAAGAATATAGAATACAGAATACAGAATATAGAATTTTGAATATACAATGTGGAACACAGAATATAGAATACAGAATACAGAATGCAGAATTTAGAACATGTAATTCACAACACAGAATATAGAATATAGAATACAGACATAAAATGTGGAATATAGAATGTAGAACACAGAATATAGAATATAGAGTTCTGAACCCAGAACACAGAACCCAGAATTTTGAACATGCAGAGCAGAACACAGACAATAGAATATTGATTTCAGAATATAGAACCCAGAATATATTCATGGAATTCAGAACACATAATATAGAATATAGAATACAGAATATAGAATGCAGATTAGAGAATGTAGAACACAGAATATAAATATAGAATACAGAATACAGAACACAGAATTTAGAACATGGAATGCAGGACATAATATAGAATAAATAATACAGGAATAGAATTTAGAATATTGAATGTAGAACACAGAAAATAGAAAATAGAATACAGTACTCATAATCCAGAATTTAGAACATGGAATTCAGAACACAGAATATTTAATATAGAATACAGAAATAGAATGTAGAATATAGAATGTAGAACACAGAATATAGAATATAGAATACAGTATATAGAACACAGAATTCAGTAAATGGAATGCACAACACGAAATATAGAATATAGAATACAGAATACAGAACCCAGTATTTAACATGGAATTCAGAACAGATAATTTAGAATATAGAGTACAGAATACAGAATATAGAATGTTGAATACAGAATGTAGAACACAGAATATAGACTATAGAATACAGAATACAGAAACCAGAATTTAGAACATGGAATTCAGAACAGAATTTAGAATAAAGAATACAGTATACAGAATATAGAATCCTGAATACAGAATGTATAACACAGAATACATAATATAGAATACAGAATAAAGAACCCATAATTAATAATATGGAAATCAGAACACATATTTAGAATATACAATACAGAATACAGACAATAGAATGTAGAATACAGAATGTAGAAAACAGAATATAGAATATAGTGTGCATAATATATAATATAGAATGCGGAATATAAAATGTAGAACACAGAATATAGAATACAGAATACAGAAATAAGAATTTATAACATGTAATGCAGAACTCAGAATATAGAATACAGAACCCTGATTTCAGAACATGTAATTCCGAACTCAGAACTTAGAATGTAGAATACATAATATACAATATAGTATGTAAAATACAGAATGTAGAACACAGAAAATAGAATACAAAATGCAGAACCCAGAATATAGAACATGGAATTCAGAACATGTATTTAGAATATAGACTAGAGAATATACAATATAGAACACAGTATACAGTATATAGAATATAGAATGCAGAACCCAGAATTTAGAACATGGAATTCAGAACACGGAATTAAGAATATAGAATACAGAATACAGAATATAGAATGTAGTATAGAGAATGTAGAACACACAATATAGAATATAGAATGCAGATACAGAACCCAGAATTTAGAACATGGAATTCAGAATACAGGATATAGAATATAGAATACAGAAATAAATGAAGAGTATAGAATGCAAAACACAGAATATAAAATACACAATTCAGAATATAGAATGTAGAATATAGAATGAAGAAAACAGAATATAGAACATAGAATGAAGGATAGAGAACCCAGAATTTAGAACATGGAATTCAGTACAGAGAATTTAGGATATAGAGTACAGAATACAGAATATAGAATGAAGAATATAGAATGTAGAACACGGAATGTAGTATATATACTACAGAATACAGAATATAGAGTGTAGAATATAGAATGTAGTACACAGAATACAGAAGCAAGAATGTAGAATATGGAATGCAGGACACGGAATATATGATATAGAATAGACAATACATAATATAGAATGTAGAAAATAGAATGTAGAACACAGAATACAGAATATCGAATGCAGAATACAGAACCCAGAATTTAGAACATGGAATGCAGGACACAGAATATAGAATATAGAATACAGAAATAGAATTTAGAATATAGAATATAGAACACAGAATATAGAATATACAATAAAGGATACACAAACCAGAATTTAGAACTTGGAATGCAGAACACAGAATATAGAATATAGGATACAGAATAGAGAACCCAGAATTGAGAACATGGATTGCAGAACACAGAATATGGAATATAATATACACAATATACAATGAAGAATACAGATTGTAGAACACAGCATATAGAATATAGAATACAGAATTCAGAATCCATATTTAGAACATGGAAGGCAGAACACAGAATATAGAATATAGAATACAGAATACAGAACCCAGAATTGTGAACATGGAATTCAGAACACAGAACTTAACATATAGAATACAGAATACAGAATATATAATGTAGAATACAGAATGAAGAACTTAGATTATAGAATATAGAATATACATGGCAGAACATATAATTTAGAACATGGAATTCAGACACAGAATTTAGAATATAGAATACGGAATATAGATTGTAGAAAACAGAATGTACAACACAGAATATAGAACATACAATACACATGGCAGAAAACAGAATTTAGAACATGGAATTCAGAACACAGGATATAGAATATAGAATACAGAATACAGAATATAGAATGTAGAATACAGAATGTAGAACACAGAATATAGAATACAGAATTCAGAATCCAGAATTTAGAACATGGAATTCAGAACACGGATTTAGATTATAGAATACAGAATACAGAATATAGAAATTAGAAAAGAGAATGTAGAACACAGAATATAGAATATAGAATTCAGAATACAGAATTTAGAACATGGAATGCAGAACACAGAGTACAGAATATAGAATACATAATACAGAACCCAGAATTTAGAACATGGAATGCAGAACACAGAATATAGGATAGAATATAGAATATAGCATATAGAATGTAGATTATAGATTGTAGAACACATAATATAGAATATACAATAAAGAATACAGAACCCAGAATTTAGAGCACGGAATCCTGAACACGGAATTTATAATATTATTGAATCTGGGGTTAGGAAATCCCTGTGAAATCAGATTAAATTTTCTATATGTAAATATCCATTGTATTGAGGATGAAATGTCGGTTATCCACATGCCCTCATCTAAGTAATTCATATTTGTGGAACCCGTGTTGCATGTTACGTGTACGGAACTCGGAATTTCATGATGAGGGAAATTGCAAATTACATATGTATTGGTTAGAAATAGCTCCAAGACAATTTTTATTTGAAAAAATCCCAATTTCCAAAACTGGCATTAGGGAACTGCTCTGAAATAAAAGTAAATTATATCAGATACATATATGCCAATTATTGTGGTTGAAAATTTGGTAATCCACATTCTCACATCAGAAATGAACATTTGTTAAATCCATCATGCATGTATCATGTTCGGAACATGGAATGTCATGGTGATGGAAACTATGTAAATAACATATCTATTGTTTAGAATTCGCTCCAACAAAATTTTTGTGTGGAAAAAATCTGATTTTTGAACAGTGTTTGGAAAAACCTGCAAAATCAGAGTAAAGTTCTCTATATGTAAATTTCCCTTGTATTTAGGATGAAAGTTCAGTAATCCACATGCTCTGTACTCAGTAATGAAAATTTGCCGAAACCTTGTTGCATGTAGTGTGTTCGGAACTCGGAATTTCATGATGAGGATAACTGTAAATTACATATGTATTGGTAACAAAACGATTCAAGAGTATTTTTCTTTGACAAATTCCCGATTTTAAAAACTTGCTGAATGGTACAGTTCTGAAATAAAAGTAAATGTTATTAGAATTAATTATGCCTAATTTGGTGGCTGAAAATTGGTAATCCACATTCTAACAACTCAAAAGTAACTTTGTTAT